GTTACTCCACCTGCCCCACCTCGGCCCCGGGGCGGGGGCAAACCTGGGAAGTGCCCCACCTCAGCCCCGGGGCCTGGGCAGCCCTCGGAAGGTGCCTCCTGGAAGAGCAGGTCAAGGCCCACGAGTGCCCTGCCCCCAGAACTTCTGACCCGGGCCAGGGGGTTCAGCACCCTCCCCCACCCTCCTGCCTGCCCCAGCCCTGGGGAGCAAACCTCTGAGGCCGTGGTGGTACCTGGAGATGCTCCTCGATGTCCTTCCTGTCGTAGGTGATGCCGCTGGGCGTGATGCAGGGCTCCCTCATCAGCTCAAAGCTGATCTTCCCACACAGGTAGTCAGGGATGTCCCGCTTCTGCCTCGGGAGAAGCAGGGCTGGCTCAGCAGGACTGGCTCAGCAGGGGCTGAGTGACCCAAGCACCAAAACGTAGAGTTCTGGGAGGCGATGCCAGCTCGAGGGGGTAAAGCAGGTTTAGGGTGAGCAGGTCCAAGGCTGGGGACACTCACCTTCCTCTTCTCATCCACCTGAGAGAAGAGCTCGTCCATGTCTGCCAGGTACTTGTCCTGAAAGAGAAGGCTTTGAGGATGAGGGGACCCTGGAGCACAGGGCTACAGGTCCCCACGGAGCGAGCCCTGGAGTCCCCCACCCCTGGGTGCCGTGGCAGGTCCTGGGTGCCCCCCTCCCTCCCTTCACAGCCCCCAGGCAGCGCAGCTCCAGGCTGAACCGTGCGGCAGGAGTGATCCAGCTTAAAAATAACCTTCCTTTGTGGGGCTATTTTTATCCCAGGATTAGTCCCCTGTGCTGGGCCAGCACCCAGACCCACGTAGGGCCCAGAGCTGCTCGCGCTGCGTGGCCCTCGGACCACAGCAGGCACAGCTGCCACAGGGGGACACCAAGGCCACAAAACAAAGGCTGAGGAGCCACCCTCTGCCCCACGGCCTCCTGGCTTTCCCCTGCAGCCCCACAGCTTCAGCATGGGGATAAGGATGGCCCGATGAAGGCCTGGGCTCCCCAACTCCCCCAGGCTCACGTGTTTGGCCTCGATGCTGGCCAGCTGAACTCGGCTCCGGCTCTCGTCTGTGTTCTCCTCCTGCTGGGTCTTCCTGCACTCAGCCAGCTCCCTAGGATGGAGCAGGGAGGTCAGAAACAACAGAGGGACCCGAGGCGGAGCTGCAACAGCTCCATGGCTCTAGAACAGCCTCTGCAGTACCTCTCCTTCTCGGCCATGATCAGCTTGGTCAGGTAGGAGTGCAGCTCGTTCTCCTGGTTGATCCTCTTCTCCTCGATGCTGTTCCAGCGTTTCTTCTTGGCGATGCGCAGCGCGCTGGGGATGTCATCCCCAAAATTCAGCCGCTGCTCCTTGGCGAGGTTGTAGGCTGGGGAGAGGAGGAAGGGCATGGGAGAGGAAGGGCAGGGGAGAGGAAGGGCAGGGGAGAGCCGGCGCCAGCTTCCTCCTCCCCATCCCCGACTCCTGCCTGCTGGGCAAGGAGGGAAGCGGCAGCGTGGTGCCCGCTCACCTCTCTGCAGGTTGGCGATGGCCTCGTCGTAGTTCTCCATCTCCATCTGGCACTGGCCCAGGAAGAAGTGAGCCTTCACCGACTGCCCGTCCAGCTCCAGGGCTCGCTTGCAGTCGGCCAGCGCCTTGTCGTGCTGCTGCATCTTCAGGTAGCAGAGGGCTCGGTTGGTGTAGTACACGGCCACCAGGGGGTTGCGGTTCTGCCGGGAGAGACCCGTGCTGGGGCCGGCGACAGCTCCGCGCCCCGGGGACGAGGCACCGGTGACAACGGGGTGTGAGGCGGTGAC